GAATGAAACTAAGCAATCCCTACACAACAAGCAATGTTTACATAACGAGACCCTAAATTTTGAGATGCATAATCTATACTATGCCTCACTCGTATATGCAACTGTTTGATGGAAACCCAATTAGATGTGTGGCTAGACTACAACTTTCAAAGACTAGGGCTATTCAGTGGATGTGATTTTCCGAGCTGTACTAGAACTTGTGGCAGCGCTGATTTTGAGTGATGCTCGCATGGTCATGTACAGCCCCGCCCATCTTTGTCTCGTGCAGTCGCCTTCATCGGGGTTTCCACCAAACAGTGCACACCTGTATAGAGTGTGACCCACAGATTTTTGAACCGGCCTTTAAAAAACTCTTCCTGAGGAAAAGAAAAAGGTACCGACAAGTTCAAGATTTTTGACTTGCGAGTTGTGCAAGCACTTTAATGGCTGCTCAAAACCCTGAATTCTTGTGCTTGTGATGCACGCAATGTTTAGGCATGGAGTTTCAGCCTTTGCAAGGATCAAAGGAGTGCTTGCATTTAGATGGTAGTCTGATGCGAGGACGCAGCGCACTTCCTTCTGGGCAAAATTGCATGCCACCTTTCAGAATGCGCGGCAGACCAACAAACAAGAAAAAGCAGAGTCAATCAGCGTTTCCAATTTCAGTTTTTGCATAGCCTTCGGTCGGTCAAGCTTTAGCCACTCCTTGAGTAGTTGAGTGGTAAAACTTGCTGAAGCATTGGTAGCATCTGAATGGACACTAGATCAGCGAAGGCAGAAGCAAAGGCATGCAAGGAAACGGTAAGGAGAAGGTTGCTCCCCTTCATGCTTGTAGTGAGATCTAGATTCTGCCAGCATCCCCCAAGCCTGCCAAGTGTCTGGAGGTCCACCGCACCAAGGCCTGCGCCAGCATTTGAGAAGCTGCCCAGATGCTCTACATTGCTGCGCTCAGGGGATGATGCAGCCGAATGCTGCAACTTTTGCTGCCCCACCGCGCCTTCTCAGGCTGTGTCTTGCCACGCGGGCTATGCACATTGGGAAGTTGGTAACAGAGGGCAGAATGCCAGTGGATATGGCAGGAATTTGATCAAAGAATGAATGCTATAGTATGGCCTACAGAGGTTAACATGAGCAATTTCTGATCGATGTACCGGTAAATACCTTGGCGCCCATGCGTAGGCTTGGACAACGTTCGACACATACTAAGTATATATCGTGTACAGTCCTTTAAGGTCGAACTTCCCTAATTCGCG